TCGCGTCTTGGAGGGTTTTATATGCAACAACCAATTTATACCTTGTCATATACTATATAAAGGTACATTTTACTTAAAGGCGCGCCCCACGATAAAAAGGGTGTCAAGTCTGTGCCCATGAAAACGAAAGCAAGGCGCGAAGTAAGGCAGCAGTGAAGAAAAAAGAGTCCGGAATCCGTAGACAACGTTAAAATTAGAAGCTTGCTCTTCTTTGTGTTAAGGCAATGAGAGACTGCGCACTTGGGAGAGAGGATAGGCGAGAAAGCACAGCGGATTAGAGGGCGCAGACAATATGGCATGTTGCGTGTGAAGGAAAATGGATGGATTCGGTATGAGCGGTCCATGTTAGGCCCTAGTGTTCTTGCTGGGCACTTTAGAACTGCTGGGAGAATGGGACACCTTCGACCTTCGTAAACAGATTTATGCTGCTCACCAAAGGACCCATCCACCTGAATTTGTCGAGCTTGTGCCTTTAAAGGCAAGAATAAGGATTGAATTGATGAGTTGATTCCACTCAAATGTGAAAGTAGGGTGGGAGGTGGACCGCCAGTGGAGAAAAAGGAAAGAAAATCCTGAAATACACAGGAAATACGAGCATTTTGCTCCATGCTGTGGAGAAGTTCAAAAGGGGAGATGAGAGATAATGTGAGCGCGGAGAGCGGTAGAGAAGTCCGAGAAGAGAGAGCATAGCAGATCAACGCAGCGACGCAGACAAGATATCGAACGGTGGGCGGACCATGTTAAGTTTGGTGGAGTCTGTTAGAAGTCCATGGCGCCTAGGGTCCTAGTGACGCGTTTCGATGTTTGCACTTGCGTACCCAGCACTTCTAGCCATGGTAAGGGCTTCTTAGGTGGGTCTGAGCCCGAACTTTGCCTTCAAGTAACTTTGAGGTGTGTTAATGTGGTCCAATGTTTGTCGGGCACATTTCACTGTGATTGCGCCGAACTGATCAGCACCAGAGATAAATAAACATGAGTAAGGGTGTGATCGGTTTTATAGTGTTGTTTACATTTTGCATGACATTCACTATGAGAATTTTCGCTTCTGAAAGGACCAGTGAATTAAATCTCCATGCAAGTAACACCTAGTAAACCCTTTGAAAGAGGCAAGCTTGACGAGCCCAAGTGTGGTTGAACTTCAGGTTCGTCACGCGCTTTCAGCTTCTATGCCTCAAGGAAGCGCAGCTCTTACTGCTAGAGCTCCATTTTTCATAAAAGACCTTCATTTTTCATTCGAAAATTCTAAAAAAAAAACAAGAAACTTCTCTTAGCAACAGTAAAACAATGTTCTTCTTTATTTTTGGCAGATAAATTGCATAATAATTGTTTCCTTCAGTAATTTGGAATGAACAAATGTGTGAGTAATCTGTACAACATAAGTCATAGTGGAGCAACATTGGATCTCATTGTGAATTCTGCCATGAGATGCGAGACTTTTCCTGCTCCCAGGCAAGAGATCGGCGAAGAATACGCTGCTGAAACGAATCAGAAGGAGATTCACAGGCAAAGTACAGCTTTATACTGTTACAGTTTATAGCACTACAGTTTACAGTTGGAGAGTATGCGTTGATAGAAAAGGACAATTCATATTCAAAACTAACCCTTGCATACTCGCTCCCAGAAAAACAATGTTGGGTTTGCAGTAGCTGAGCGTCTGATCGTGTTTTAAACACCTGTAACTGAGAAGCAGGTAGTTCCAAGAGACTTCAGGGCCCTTTATTCTCTTCCACTCTACACGTTGGTATATCCGCCTTAACTCACTACCGAAGAAAGTTTCTAAATATGCCATAAAAAATCCCAAACCTTTTTCTTCTTCGTATCGATGATCCATCCACACCATTTGATAAAACGCCTTGCACGTTGAATCTTTCTCAAGCGAAAACTTGGATCTTTTCACGAAAACTTGCTTAAAAGGTGAGGGAGCATTTTCGCTTAATGGCTTCCGCAGAATTAACTGGATTGTCTCGCACAAGATACAATGCTATTGTCATGTTATTCAGCAAGTAAACAATGAAGAAGAATCAGTTCGGAGCGCTTAATGGGCGTTCATAGTTTGGCCGATCGCTACTCCTACATGAGAGTATGCTGGTAGGCAGTTAGGCAAGCTAGTCGATTAAGCGAGTTAGCGATAATGGCAAGGGAATGCGGTACTATTTGGTGCTGCGAGGGCGAGGTCGCCTTTAATAGTTCACTCGCCTACTCGCACTGCTGCTGCGTCTGCAGCGCTTTATGGACTAGCAAACCAGTAATCTTCCCCGCCCTAATCGTCTACTCACCTGGAAGCCTGAACGCCTGAACGCCCACTCGCCTAATCGCCTAATCGCATAACCTATATCAATACATATTTAGACTAGTAGCCTATACGTCTAGTCGCCTAATCGCACGTATATGATCGCCATTCTAAACACTCCATTAGATTAAGGGCTAGCCCTTCGTAATGCGGCTGTGCTAAGGCAGTGAGAAATTGAGCGCGAGAGAGCTAGCACAAGATGAAAGAGAGAGCGCATCAGATGAGAGGGTATCGGACAACAGCCTGCTACGGGTGGGGAAATTGAAGCTCTTGAAGCCATCTTTGTAAGGCCCTAGCGCCCTTGTCGGACGACTTGCGTGCACTGGAGTTCTACATCAGTGATTGCCCTCTATGACTGACTACCCTACTGAGCGCAGGGAATCTCTCACAAGACCCTGCGCGTTGCGCCTTTAACTAAACACGTCCAGGCGGTGTTGCAATTTTCTTACTTCTGTGCTGGCTTAAATTTTTACACAAAAAAAAATCGCTCCTTCTTGCATTGCCAATGGTGCATATAGTAGAACACTGCTTTGGCAAAGTCGCGTATCATTCAGAACTTGAAGACTGGACCATTCAAATTTATTGGAGACTAGACTACCATGATGTCCTTTCTCGGCATATTTGTGGGGGGCTTCGTTTAGTTGCTTTAGTTCTCAAATTTCGACGTTTACTATGGAGTATCAGTTTAAAAATTTAAAGGAGTGCCACATGAGGCGTTTAATATTTCAAGAAAGGGGCACAGTTAGCTACATTTTGTGGACACCATGATTTTTGAACACAAAACGAGACTCACCGCACATTTGCTCAACCTGGCTGATATGCCGATTCGTTTCGGTCGGCAGGAAGTCTTCAATCTTAACATTTTTTTTCTGATGACAAACAATGTTCCGCCGTCTGCGCTCACCCTCTTTGAGTAAAGACGGTAATTGGCCGCTTCACCGGAATTCAGTGAGAGCACAACTTACCTTTTTTCACTTCAGCCTCGAGAATAAGAACATATCAAGTAGTCGTCCACATAACGCAAAAGGCAGGTGCTTTTCGAAAGATGTGGCCAATACGTGTTTTCAAAGTAAAGTAGGGAGATCTGAAATATCGATCTTGAAAAAAACCATAATTTGATTTGGTGATCTAGTAGCGTTCTCTATGACTTTCTGTATAGAATGACAAAAAGAAGCATAAGAAATCCTTCACGTTACAACAAACTTCCAGCATAAGCAGAAAAAGACCTTAAAGGAGGATTTAACTATCGAGGCTCAAAGAACAAGAGGCGAATTTACTTAACATAGTGGGAAGGAGGCGGAACCCCGCAAACGACAGCCCAATGGACATGCGAAGATTGCCCGCCGATCCAGCATGGCCCTCCCCACGGTGCTACCGACATGGCACGCCCACTGACTGGCTAACGCCACGCCGCAGGTCTCTAGCCGTTTAGCAGAGAGAAAAAGTTTAAGTGTTGAAAGAGAGGAAGCAAAGAAGAAGAGAGGGCGCATTCAGATGCAGAATCAAGGGAAAGCGGAGGGTCCCATTTCTTCGGATCTGGCGTTTCTCACAGGTTCTTATGATCTTCATGATTTATCATGGGTCGGCACCACTGACCATCTATATCTTAATTTTAATGGGCTCCCTTCATTAACTCCGCCTACATGTGGAAAGTGCAAAATGGCGTGTAGTCGTCAATGTGTTAGAAAATAGAAATAATGGACTAACATGGGCCAGTCGAGAGGACAATTCGAATCCTTGCGGAACACCATGCTTCATTTGGTACAGTATGTCAGATCTGTCCAAAGACAACTGGAAAACACTGCAGTTATCACACATGTTAGACAAAAAAACCGAAAACAATCTTTGAATTCTACCCGTATTCCATCCAGGAGCCTCATAATTCTGCCAAGCACTTCACACGCTGGAATCACCTGAAGAAAACTTGAATACCATAAAAGCTCTTGAATAAAGTATCCGGCATTGAGCAAACCTTTCTGTGGTGCGCCATGCGTTTTAGTTCTACCCTGAATCGTAGTAGCATATTAGTGTGTTTTGCCCATAAATACAATTGCCTGCGGGTCCAGCAGATGTACGAGTAAGTGTTCTCATACGCCAAGACAGGTCCGGCACCAATTAAATTATGTACCTCAAAGGGATCGAAGGTTTTGCTGACCTGGACCTCGCACGATTCGGGGTTGATCATCGGACCGTGCACGTGGTAAGAAGCGTCACCTGCCACAACGCCTCTCCTACCGTTTTGAATATCAAGAATAAAAACAAAACATGGAACGCCATTTTGGATTAGAGCGAAACAGCGAGATGTAGATCTCTAGAACTTCCATAACTCTATAGGAAAGGCCACCAAAAATGCTCGAGGATCCCAAATAAGCTTCACATCGGGATTCCAGTGGTATCTGTGCACTACACGCAGATGTCGCTCATGGAACTATGAACTCATGGAATTCAGAACTATTTACAAGGTGAAGTCAGGGGTGAGGGTCAAACTCGGCAAACTGAGTACGCCGTGCAACATCTTTCTCTCTAATATACATACAATACAATACAATATAGGCCACAATGGAGGGCCAAAAAGGAACGGAAATAGAGGTGAGAAGCACATGAGCCACGGTGGAGGACTTCTTGATAGAGTCATATGAAACACTTGCCGTGAAGGGTTTGTAACTAGAACCTAAGAACATGAGGTTACGAGTTCGTCATGGTTAGAAGCTTAGGGAGGCGTTATGGACAGTGAAAACTCAGATTTGGCTATCCGATTGAACATGTCCGTCATGTCTAATGAATATCTAAACAACGAAAATCTTCGACAATATTCGCAACTATATCACGTTACGAGGGCGGAAGTGGTGCAGTGGTAAGTGGCACGCTTTACACTGCGAGCGTCGGGAATCATACCCTGATGGAAGTCGCGCCGCCGGCACGAAGCTTCAAATACATCCATTTTCATAGCTTCAATTTCTTTCAACTTTTACAACCTTTCCCGACTCCTCTAGGAAAACGTGATTACCCACTTGGTCACCTGCAAATATCACACATGAGATATGGCAATGAAGAATCTATTGAACTTCTTTGACGAAACCTCCGCGGCAACCGGACTGCTTTTCTTACTTCTGATATTTGAGAAGGAGTGTTGGTATTGTGAGGCCTCTGTTTGAAGTTATTACGTCAGTATGCGCTGGTACGTCGCTAGAGCACCTAAGCTTCTTCGCTTTCATCGATTTCAGCATCGATTGCACAGCACCTTCATAAGTAGTCGCAGCTCGATCAACTCTTCGATAACCATTACTCGGTGTCTTTCCGTAGCCGCAGACAGCCACCAAAGTCCTGGGAATCCCATATCAAATGATATAATGTATGCTATACGAGTTAGAGGTTGGGAATACAGGGTGGCTACTAAATATTGGCGCATGGATTGTTGACCATATTTTTAAAACGAGAAGCTTTTACATCTTCAGAGGTTTATCTTTATATACCTTATAACATGGCAGTACATTGCTGAAGAAAGTGCTCGAGATGGCCTCCTTTGGTAGCGATACAGGCTTGAAGTCTCTTTTCAACTGACATCACTGTGGGCCGCAAGTAGCTGACGTCAAGCTCCTTCCACGCCTCCTCCAAGGAAGCCTTCAAGGAGTCCAAACTTCGACGTTGCTCAGAAGACATCTTCTGCTTTAAGAAACCCCACACCGCCAAATCAATTGGTTCAAATCGGGCGACTTAGATGGCCAAACATTTTGTGCCGGTAACTTGGAAAATGACGGTCACAGTTCTCCAACATTGATTTTGCGGCATGTGGAGGCGCCCTGTCTTGCTGAAGAATGCAATGACGTTCGCTGAAGGTCAAAAGAGTCCTTGGAAGAAGGGCATTACGTGAAAATTGTTTCCGGGTAGATCTGGGCGCTGGCTTTGAATGTATTCATCCATAAAGACAAGCGGTGTTATGGTTTCGATAGGTCTGCCAAACCATACAAATTCGAAAAACGTTCGCTTGTGTGTAGCAAAAGTCGAGAATAATTGTCTGCTAGCCATCCAACACTGGCCTGTCCGAATGCAATCTAACGCCTTCTGGTCTGGAAGATCTAGTCCACACGCCAGACGTTGACTACTTGGGGGCCCACGGATGTAGTTGAGATGAAGTAAACGCCTGTATCGCTACTACGGACTTCTTTGTAATGAAATTCCATGCTTTTTGTATATGAAACAAACTTCCTGAGATATGAAGTTCTTTGTTTGGATATGTCATAAGCATGCGGCCAATATTTATAGCCACCTCTATACTACGTTACACCGTCAGATCCCCTAATCACACGAAAACTGACACCTCAACTCTGGTTTTGACTCTTAGCTTTTATCAGCAATTAGTTTTTCCTGCCACACTCCTAGCCCTGAGCGTGACACCAACGCCTTATATAATGAAGGGGGGGGGGGCAAAAAAGAGTCACTTTGCAAACTCTCCATCCTACTCCTCGCTTAACAGATATGATGTATAGTGCGTCGAACTCACGTAAGGCCTATCGTAATCGCTACCATTGTGAGCTGGCTGAAGTAAATCTCTTTGTCGGATTACTAGTGATAGTTTTTAAAGCTGGCAGCTTCACGCATGCAAGACTTTCGAAGGCAGCTTTCGGGATTTCGTCCTAATAGTTTACTATGTCAAGGGCTTAGTTGAGATCGAGTACATGGCTCCGGAAATTCTCCTTCCGAAATCTTACGTATGAAAAAAATTGTTCTCGCGGAGTTTTTTCATAGAGTAAAATGAGCTCTTCAATTTTCCAGTTAAAAGTATTTGGTTCGATTTCAGCAACAAGTAATTAATTTGGTTCTGGAAATGTCTTTTTCCACCACCCTCCCCCCCCCCCATCCTGTAGTGGCTGAGAGTGGGCTTATTAGGTGTCCTATATAGTAATAAAAGGAGTTTCCACAACCCCAACCCAGGAAACACTGATAACCTGAGTCATGGAGCATTCAGTTATTCTGGCGCTTGAATTAGTCTGACACCTTTTTGATTCAGTCCCTTCTAAACGAAGGAACACATAATGACCGACGTAACCACCAAAATCAACTCAGCGGTTTACATAGTTAAAGGATTGGGGGTAAACAAATGGTTTCATTAAAAAAAACTACCGTCCTCTCATAACCATCATCAAAGCTCTTTTCAATAGCTCTCTATTGACACAAGCAAAACAATTTTCAATGTCAGCTTTCGCAAAAAACATCGGACCGCGTTTGCGTAATGCATTACAGCCTAAAACGATCATATCCTATTTGCACACCCTCTATAAACATTGTTTAGGAAAGAGGAAAACAAGAAAACCATCTAATGAAGGAAATTCACCCGCTGAACGTAGCGAATTCTTGAAGAGCTGTTGACGCAAAATGTGACACTTGAAGAACCTCTGAAGCCGTGCCACCTCGAGCGATATTCCTAAAAATCTTATTTGCAATGTTCTATTGGACGGATAGGAAACTTCACTTTCTATATTTCCAATATTTTCCTTTCTCTCGTTATCTAGTGGCTGATCAGTGTAGTATGTTGTCAATAGCTAATGCAAGCTTTCAGCTTATCTTGCGTGATCTGAGATCACAGAAATGTTTCATAAATGTCAAATCGGCGTTCGTATAAAAGGACGTTTGAATCGCCCACTTCAGCTCTTGTTACTGTAGGCCTTGACTAAAGACGCACCCTCAATACGTTTCTTGACTTCTTTTGAGAAAGAATATATTCGATGTGCTGCCAATAATATTTTTATAAGGTAAAATTACTAATAAACCCGGTTGCTTTTCTTGGACAGTTATCCAAGACCGCATGACACTCGGGAATTCGGGTTTATGCGAACAAGGTTCAGTACATACTGCCTCAAGACTTCAAGACCAGTTCAAGGAATCCCACAGTGCCCGATCCACATGATTTTCCTGAACTTGAAGGCAAGACCCGGGATAAACTGGTGATAAGAGCGCTTCGTAGTGATGACTGAGCTGCGGAACGACCTGAAAGTGGAAAGGAAAGCAGAGAAATCTTTGGGAACGCTGAAATTAAGGCCTTAACCTTCAAAAGGTCGGATGTGGTACGATGGCGAGACAGGGCGATCAAAGAAGACAAAACACGCGAGAGATCACGCCGTTCGAGAGAGCACTGATCTCTACATCACGAGGTGGGTGGGAAGCGTTGCAAACGGGATTTGCACGGCCAGTAAGGATCGCCTAAGACGCATTTTTGCAAAGAAGTTCTGAGTATTAGGTAAGGTATGGACCTTAAATCCCCTACGCGAGATCCTCCTATAAAGTCAGGCTAGTCCCGAAATGTTCTGAGGTTCGGTATGGACGTACCTTCTAACGCCTTCTCGCATTTCGTGCACCAGCAAAACGTTTTAAAAAACAACATGCGCCAGCCCAAGATTCTAGCCGATAACGCGAGCGGTATCGCATGATCGTTATAGAAGAGCAATATCAATAGACGTGTGACAAAGACCGCTCCCAATCGACCATTTTGAATGATTTATGCACAGGCGACACTTTTTGTGACTCGTTTGGAAACGCTCCTCATCAAAAAGAATTTTTTTACGGAAAACGACCTCACCACCATGTGGCTTGAAACCCGTCGCTTGAATGTACCCATCGAGGCATGCTGCCAGTATTCTCATCTCATTTTTGTGACTCGTACTTCCCTGAAATTCACTATGTATGCTTCGCCGGCTAACATTTCGTCTCGCTAACCACGACTTTTTGATCTGTCCAATATTATTCAACGCTTATTCTGAGTTGATCATTGCTCCTTTTTGTTTTCGTTTTCTTCCATTTCCTGTCGTACTTTGTCCACTCCTTCTTTCCGTGGCTTGCTCGTTAATTATACGCTACCTTTTGGCTTCGTAAGCGTAATAAAATAAATAAAATCAACAAATAGACATTGTTCTCGCATTGATGAATCAGGAATGAACACTAGACAAACTTTCTCTATCATACCATCTCTATGATCATAGAAAGATGAAGGCATACTCTAGCTGACCTTGACATTCGTGCATATCAATTTCCTCATTAGGCAGGGTAGTCCAGTAGGCACAATTTTTACGCTGCTTCTAGCAAGCCTAAGCCTGAGCTAAGCTAAACTAGGCTAGAGCATAAGCCAATGTGTAATAATGAGCCTAGACCGAAGCCCAACTCCACGCCCAACCTTAGGCTTCAATCATCGCGCAGATCTGGTGAGCCAACGAAGTGGGAACTGAACGTCTTCTTATTTGCAATTGCTCCTCTTAATAACTGCGTATAGCATACATTATACAAAGTTATACGGTGCTAACTTAGTGGGGGGGGGCCACGCGGCGGCGCGGCAGTCTGCTCACCTGGGCTCTCTCGAGCGAGACAGTGTAAACTCGAACATTCCAGCTTTTCACGCATGTCAAGTGACTGCCCCCACCCCCACCCCCTAGACTGGCTACACTCCCCCTGGCCCACGGATTTCCGAACATGCCAGGCGAGCAGACTGCCGCGCCGCCGCGTGCCCCCCCCAACTAAGTTAGCACCCTTTTCTGTGCTTATGTTATAACTATGTTGAATGTATGCTATACGGCAAAGCTTCACTGTTGTCTTGGAAGCCTCTAAGCAGAACTTTGGGATTCTTCTTGGGGAAAGTTCACTGCCTCATGTTCGCGGTGTAATCCATCCTCTCTACGATTAGGAAGCTGTCAAGAACGTGAAGGCTTTTCCCAAGTTCAATATCGCGAACAAAACATACTCGGAAATTCTAACAATTGAAGAATCAGCGCATTACCCGCCATTTACCTTAAACGACCTATTGAAGGAATCTTCCACGGAAAAACATCTCCTCCATTCCTACAAAAAAACGATACCTTAGGCCCCTTGCTTCATGAAGATAGCAAAAAGAACGGAACATAGGCGATGGTTTTGATAATAATTATGATAACCAGTTCGACTATGAAAATTTTGAATTCCCGCTGTAAAACTTCCACAACTGTTAGCGGCGTGGAGTCAACACGTGCAAACGTGTCAAAAGCGTGAACGTGAACTGGATTCATGTTGGGCCCTTCCCATAAACTGACACGTGGATCCGCACCTGCCACGCACTTCGTCACAGAAGCACTTCCGGTCCCGCCTACTGGTCCAATCCGGTCCCACAGATGGGTCTTTCCAAGGGCTGTTTCTCTTGGGGTTTCATCATTTTCGCTCTGAACTTTGCATATGGTCTTCAATGACCATGCCCAACACCTGTAACACAAGGAAAGGATAAGCAGTCTTTCCGTGGAAGATTCCTCTAAGCTCTAGGTGGACCCTTCTTTCCTGGGAATAAGAACCATAGGCATCTCTGACCTG